CTTCCCCAACACAAGCCCACTCTGCTGCTCCCGTCACCCATGCGGGGGGGCCCAGCACGGCCTTTTCCTCTCCTACATCCCCTCCTGGCAGGGTGCACGGCCGGCAGCCCTGGGCTGGCCCTGGTGGGGAAGGTACTTCCAGCCTGACGTACCAGCGAAAGCGCGGGGCTGAACAGTTTCCCCCCTGCAGGGACTGCTGCTTTTCATTAAAATCGTTCTATAAAAAAAACAAATAAATGTGGCTGGCTGACGGGTTTCAGTAACGCAACTGCCACGAGCTCATGCTGCCAGTTCAGCACCCCACCCTGGCAGGAATGGCAACCATCCAAAATAAGTTGAACATTAGTTCTTGACCAAGGACCAACAGGCAGTTTATGCTCCTTCACAAGCCTGTCAAAGGTTACCCACACCAAAAAGAGATGCACGGCCCTTCGAGACAGAAAACAAGACACTTAGAAATCCACATCCAACTGTTAACTGGGAAGGACATACAGCTGGCCATGCCATAGCACTCACTGGTTGTGAACCCTTGCCCTGTGGCACGCAGTTGGGAATTACAAACACCTCAGCTTCTCACGAGTAAGCTTTGAGAGGGCAATTTCAGTTTAAAAGGCACGTACAAAACTCTCTCCGACAATACGGATGTGGAACCAAACCGGGCCTGACACAGCATTTGCTGCCGAGAACGCACTGATGCCATGGCTGAACGGCCACTGCTGTTTCCCAAAGCACCTACTGGCGGCAGCTCCAGCGCTCACACCTGCCGCAGGCAGAAACAGGGGCGGCAGCAGGAGGGCAGCTCCACCGTCCCGGCACCATCCCGAGCGGAAGCTTGCCCTGGGCAGAACCTCAGCAGCGGTGACCCCCCTGGGCAGCTCCCAGAGCGCCATTCCCCGTTTCCTTCAGCGCCAGGTTCACCCACACTTGGGGCCAGCTCGATTTTCAAGCTGTGTCATGACACGTTCAGGGACAACCAAGCGAAACTCACTGCAGCTTCATCATCTTTCTCCCTCAGTGCTGTGTTTCCCAAATCAAAATACTCTACACCGTCTATTTGAGAAGAAATAATTTTATTGTTGCCATGTGATAGGTTCCACTGTGAGTGACTAGGACAGCTTGCTACACAGTCTCTCTCATGATTTTGGTGAGTTTCTGGATCTTAGACCTTGTTGACATGTCCACGTACTTCTCCCCAATATTGACAATCATGCCACCGAGGATTGATGGATCAGTCTGAAGAAGAAACATTGAACAGAAATTCTATTAGCAACAACTTTTTAGCCCAGTATACAATTTTTGCACTAGTAAATCTTTTAAAAGAGCCTTTTTGAAGGCAACTTTGCAACCACCATATTCCAAAGTTAAGATTTCAGTAGTTAAAAGCATCATCAGGTCTACAAGAAAGCACAGAACCATGTAATATAGCATAGCAACCCGATTCAGAAAATTGTCATTTTTTTCCTACAGATCAGACAGGCAGAAGCCCAGTTTAACATGAACCTGGTGAAATTTATTTACAAATCAAAAATCCTGACCTTGGTCTCCAGCTTCAAGACCTCTCCCTTAGCCAAGAATCCACTCAGAGCACTTTTTAGCTCAGTAAGGCTGGCATCATCCAAGGGCTGAAAAACAGGAACAGAAGACAAGGAAAATGAAGGACCTGGAAACATTCAAACGACGTAACAAGAACCCACATTTTCTATTCAAATTCTTCTGAAGACAGACACTTCCACGAGGAAGGCAGATTAAGCAGCCTGCTTGAAGGGGAGTGACCAAAGGACAGCACGGAGACAGCAGTCACTCTGTGCCCCCCTAATTTCATGAAACGCTGTTATTTGAGCACACACTCCCAGCAAAAGTTGGATGCTGACATCTTGAGAAGGCAAGCGTCAGGAATCCGTACTTGCCAGAGTAAACACTTGATGGAAACCCTTGAGACCTGCCTCACAGCAGCGTTCGGGCTGTAGAAGCAAGTTAATTTTGCTGCTTCTAACAACTAAGATCATCCACTTGAGAAGAAACACGGCACTGGGCAGCGACGGAGGACGCGGGCAGCGAGCTCCCGGCCCTGCTGCAGGCTCGCAGAATGCTCTGGGCTGAGCACGCCTCTCTCCACCCCCCAGAAGATCTCTGCATCCCCGCGGGACAGACACTGTGAATTCAGCCTTGCCACCCCTACAAGTCACTCGAATACCACCAAGACAGAAACAGAAAACACTTCATGGAAGAGCAGTGGCTTTGTGTTACTGGCAATTTAAATAACTTCCGTTTCATATCTAATGGTTTGAGAGCCAAAAGAAAACAATAACAACGACGCAAAGCATTAGGAAAGTAACTTTACGTACGAAACATTTAGGAAAACTTATGGAAAGGTTTGCACAGCTTGCGAGCTGCTCCCCGTGAAGCACAGCACCGAGCACCGCAGGCATTCTCAGTCCTACCAGGTGCCTGCCTTGCTCTAGCTACCAGCTCATCTGTTAGCTCTGCCCGACCTGCACCGTCCCGATGACGGAAATAAGAACAGGGGCAGAGGTATCCGCAGGCCAGGCTGACTTTTATCAGCCACTGGGTTCACACACAGGAAGGAAAGATGTTACCTGTTAAACTGGAATGGGAGGAAAAGGTTTAATTTTTGATCGAGAATTGCTGGCTATCAAAAAACTATTCGCCAGCCTTTGCTCTTGGCAGAGGCGAACCATCTCCTCACAACTCGCGTAACAAGCGTTTAAAACTGCAGAGAGCAAAACCACGTGGCAGACGCTCGCCTTTTGTGCCGGGACCCGCTAAGCTCCACCGAGAGGCTCCCAACCCACCTGCGCCGTGGTGACCGCGCACACCACTTCTCCTCGGTACGCGCTCATGATCTTCCCAAACGCTGAAACAATGTCCGGTGTGCAACGCAAGCGACCGTTTTCAGCAAGCAAATCTGGAAGAGGCAGATGCATCGAGAAGGTTTAAAGCACCCACCAGAAGCAGGTTTCATTAGCTAACAGTAATAACAAGTAGCCCCAGGTGTGTTTCTCTAGTCCAACGGTTACTTACTCATCAGGTTGACAATAATAGGGGACATCTTCTCTTTCGCTAAGGCATCATTCACAGCTTTTTGTTTAACCACGTTCTTGGTGTGAGGGTTCATAACAACACTGGATAGCTTGGGGTCCTTCAAGAGAGTCTAAGAGGATACACAAACAACGTGATAAAGGCCAGGAGTTTGCCAGGCATTACAAGGCCTAACTGGGCTACCCAAAGCAGGCAACACAGTCAATCCTTGAGTAAGAAAGAAGAGGTCCGAAGCCGGTGGGAAGTGAAACGGCAGCTCCAGGTGTAACCCACTGACAGCATGTTTCTTTTACAGCTGATGGTCCTCCCCGTATCACTTCCAAGCGGCTCAACACCAGGGGCGCGGTGCAGACAGCTGTACGTGGGAGCCTCACAGCCTGCA